CACTGCACTATTTGACTTACCAAATCCACTACCAGTCATATAGTGATTCTTTTCTAACTCAAGTGTTGTTTTAATAGAATTCTCTCTGGATGCATGCTGTCTACCGCGTCGGTGTTTTATGCTATTTATTATTTCAATTTGTTCCAATTCTTCATCAAAGCGGTGTAAATACCTTAAAAAAAAATGTACAAATATTATTACTATGAAGCAAGAGTCCATTTTCAACATATCTCACCAGAAAAGTTAAAAAATATCAAATCAAACCCCACAACACTATTAAAATTTTTTTACCACATTTAACATCAATATATTCAGATTAAGCACAGATTGAATGCAAGTAATACTATCTGATGATGTAACGCAATGTCCAAATTTGGACAACAATACATTACGCACATGTAAGTCGAACACATAATGATATAATTTACTCCATGATAGTATTCAGTGGGTCCAACAAGAACTTTTTTCAATTCTTCAATTGAGCCGAGATGTAAATAACTGTTACTTACTCCTCAATAAGTCTACAGACTTCTTCTCTGCTATGCACAGTTTTAGAATGGTCCATATGATCATGAAACCACTGCAGCTTCTCTAAGAGTACATTCTGACGGACAGTTCGCTCTGCATCACGTCTATACAGAAAACATTTCGGAAAGACAGTTTTTAGAATGGTCAAATGTGTCACATAATAGTCCAATACAGCTACTTGTATTCATACTATTCATAATGTGTAAGTGTTAATAAAATTATTATTATTATCAAATATGTCACATAATAGTCCAAAAATGACAACTAATAATTCATTTTTCTAGCCTGTTTCTGCTCTGGGAACAATAATCAAGCTCCTGAAATATTGATACATACATCTGATTTTTTTCTTTCTTGTGAGCTCCCCTTTGTAATTGACATGCCTTTCTGCTATTTGGATGGACAGGCTTCCTGTGTTGACCAATCTTTTTATTTGAGGCTTTGGGCTATGAAATAAAGTACATGATTTAACAATGCATAATTCCCTGTGAGAATCAAGTCTGATAAAGTTGAAACATAAATATCTGGGTCATGCCATTCATCACAATATATTACCCGCCAGTCTGCCATTTTGAATCCAAGCTGAAAAAACAAAATTCATCCATACATGACTGGTCATACATGTGTATAGCTAAAAAAACAAAGACAGATACAGAAAAACCAAGTTGTGATTGCCTCCTCGCCAACAGAGATACACATGTAGCAACACATTCTCTGCAGTTCACAGGTCATTTAAAAACCATGTTTTGAATAGTCGGAATAATAATTAAAAAACATACAATAGCATAATTGGGCTTTGGGTAATTCTTCGGACAGACATTGGTAGGTATGGCATACACACTGTTATATTCACCTTTACCCAAGCTTTCAGATGATATATGGATTGTTATAGCAGCATGCTTTAGAGAATGTCCGACTCACAGATCAATTTTAAACATGTTTTTATTTATCTTTGTGGATAACTTAAGAGGTTCATACAACAGTTAATTCGATAAGCAAAATATCAAGCCTACAGATGCATATATTGGTGAAGTACTCATAACGACTATAAACTTGTCATAAATGCTAACTAATTGGTACAAATCAGGTAAAGAGAAGTCATTGTCAATGATAGAAATATTGCCATAGTTACTACCTCATTTCATTTTTTTATTGGGAAAGGCGTTATTGAGAATCTTACTGTTGTTTACGTTGCAATATGGAGTTATGATGATGTAAATAAAAATATAAACACATCTGTTGATGATTTATTGTAATCGACAATAACGATAGACAAATTGTAAATGTAAAACAGAATATGCAGAAATATTGTAGAAAAAGTATGCAGTGAAAATACAAGAAAGACCATATTATACTTTCATGTTGAATTTCCTTCTTTGATCGTTTACAAAGAAAACAGTTAAAAAGAATTGAATCATTACTAAAGTGCTGTCTAGTACATAAGTAAACGAATTACCACAGAAGACGTGACACTGCATGTTTTTTACCATATAATTATCAAAAAATTATCAATATTAATGAGTTGTCTAATATCGGAATTTATCATTTTGTCTTGACTACTAAAGGTATTAAATTATTCCAACTTCCGATGATTAGTGTGACTTAGATTCTACGTCTCTATCGGAACTTCAAAACGAACAATCTCTAATATCGATTGATCGATGATTTTTAGACAGAATTATTGAAATTCACATAGTAATTATTCTCCAATATCGATCTAACTACGTTTTTTCTCTTAAATAATGATGTAATCCCCTTTTTAGATAAAACAAAAGGTTGTATTTTTGACGTAACTAAACGACAATGAAACAATGCAATGTCGCGCCTTCGACACATTCTAATATGACGAATTTTGTATAGCTACATTGTTCAATATATTGTTGGAATAAATGCGAGTCAGATTTTTACGAGACGGGAAAGAAACACAATGTTTTTCTGTGTTGCAGTCGTTATATGTTAATATGTATTTACTCATATACTATACAACCTTTAAAACTTTAGCATTTTCGGACAATTTTAAGATTAATGACCAACATCTGTATTCTTCTAAGAATTTAATACCAAACATGTACAGCTAGATACAGAATTAAAGCACCTATAACTTTAATACTGTTGTGAGCTTTAGGGTAAAATACTAAAGAAGTTTATTTTACACCCAAAATGCATAGGTTTTGACAACTTTTGAAAGCAGCACAAAATTCTGAAATCTTATGGTTTCTGATGGCTGGTGAAAAATGTGTAGCTCTATGTCCATCCAGTGAATACTACATAAAGCAAAAACGGCATATGAAATGTACTTTATTTCATTACAATTTGAAGTTTTTAAGTGTATTTAGCACAAAATGCAATCTCATTATTGGGCTTTTTTAAATTTATTTAATATTATTATTTTCATTTTTTTAGTTTTACTTACATTATTAGATTACCAAAGCTTGTGGCAATCAGACCAATAAAATACTTGCGAAAAGTTAGAAAAATTAAAAAAAAAATTAAATAAAAGAAATTAAAAAATAAGATCTTATTTTAATCAGATTGCACAAACTGTAAGGCTCTGACGCCATCTATAATTGTATATGAAATTTGCAGGCTGACATTGCATTTCTTCTTTTGGTATAAGTATCAGTGTAGATACCCAGGTATAAAAATCAGGGGCACCCTACCCACCTATATATCACTACCCCACCCTCCAGGAACCAACCCATGGAAACAAACACCTATCTATTCGAAAAACAGAATCAGCAGCTGTGCAACCAAACAGAAGTATAACTTAAAGATGATTAAATACAAAATTAGATTGTAAAACATTTATTATCATTATGAGTACCACAAAAGAACACCAATATTTGGGGAAAAGTAATTTTTCCAAAAATGTTTTATTAATTTAGCTAAAGACTATTTAGTTTTTGATTTAGCTAACAAAAGCATGAACGATAAACACATAAAAACAAGCTACCGGTAACTTCTAAATTAGTCTGACAATTTTCTTGGAATAAAAAAATATACTGGGGTTGCAAGATGCATTCAAAATTTGATGATAAATGGGATTCCTTTGTCATTTAAGACCGTCAGACTAATGATTAACCCTCGGACCAATTAATGAACTGTCGGACCTATGAACCCTTGGAATAGCGAGCTGTCCCCTCCCCCCTTCTCTTGCCCCTCAAATTAATTGTATATGCCCTATTTGAGGACACATATGACATGTATGTTGAGGCGCATATACAGGTAATGGTTTATTGAAGCACTTAAAATTCCTCAGAAGGAATTAAAATGGTTCCACTAACTGCTAAAACACATATATAAAACATACAAATTTTACAAGAATTACTCTCTAAAGCACAACAATGGTTTAAAAAATAAATCAACAGACTACAATTACAAAAAAACTATTAATAAATGTTGGTAATTTTATTGGGAAAAAAAAAATAGATGAAATAATAATAATAATAATAAAAAAAGCAATAAACAGTAAATCAATGAAAGATGGAAATGAGAAAAAAAAAACGTATTAAAGGAGAAAAGTATTTATGTTAATTTGCCAGAAGATGTTGCTGTCTAAGGTTCGTGTTATTTTTGAGAAATTGGGCAACTGGTATTTTTGTATCACCCATTAATTTTAAAAATTTGTTGTAGTCAATCATATTCGTGAAATTTATAATGTGCTTAGTAGTCTCTTCAAATAATGCTTTCCGCGATTTTTCGTAAAAGGGGCATACAACTGTATCGGGGGGGCTGGAGGGTTCGAGTTAAAGTTAGGGTAAGGGGTGGGGTACATTGGAAAAGTATTTCCTAATGTTACCCAGCAAATCGTTTGGCTGTGAAAGTTTGTTATTTTTTCACGATTTGTAGGAATAAAAAAATTTTAAAAAAACGTTACTTTATTTTCCCAATTTATTTTACTTATACGTCAGCTGATTGTGGTTTTGACCATCAATGGCTGCAGATGTTGACCAAGACTGACAATCAGTGCCGCTTGTAGCCCTGCGTACAGTGCTGTGTGTACGGGGACGCGTTTGGTTGATACTAGTAGATGTCCCGGGACATATAAAAAAAAATAGTATTTATTGATTTTCAGCCCCAAGTGACTGTGGGCTGATCGTACAAAATAAAGTAATAATACTTTGAAGTGTTTCGGAGCGTGGATGAATAAATGTATGATATATGCTTGCGTTACATTGCCTGTTTACTGTTTCAATTTTATAATTTCTATTATTTTGAGCACCGTCCCTCAACACCGGGACGGTGTTTTGAGCAATAATAAGTCACCGTATTCGTTCTGACCCATAGACGCCTATGTACTGGCTTCAGCAACCAACCAAACTATACATAATATCGTCAGCGATTTACAGGGCGATGAATGGCGATGTGATAGTGTTACATGTCCCATTGTTGAGTGCATATGTATTGTGACAATTACATGTGCGTAAATACCTATACTTACCATTGTGAACGTCTTTCTAAGTCAGTAAACACTACAACACGTGCTTTTATAGAATTGCGTAACAGAATCCCGTCAAACTATGGGCGCAGACATTTTGAATAATTATAATGGAGTAATCCATTATTCGGTGGGGGCGACAAACACGTCAAACATAGCCAAACAAAAATATCAAACCTGGTCAATGGTGGTCTAAAGCTGCCACTGATTAATATTTCTGACATGTTATTTTTCCTTGTTCTTTTGTTTTTAAATTTGAAACATAAACACAAATTTTAACAGTAAAAGGATAAACTATTAAATAGATGGACACTTGGTGGCGCACTTTATACGCCGGAATCAAAAAAGGGACCGTACTCACCAGGGCTTGCTCGAACACTGAATGCGGTTCCGAATGTAAAGGTGGTTATGGTACATGGGGTAACATATGTTGACAACTTGTATTTTTACATGCACATATGTCCTCTTAAAAAACAGCTATGAGACAAAACAGCAACTACTATCAGTGTATTAGGTTAAAATTAGAGATTGTTTTCTAGTCTGTATTCATCATTGGTTGCAAATTGAATTGCCTTTATTTTTTATTTATTTTTTATTTCAAAAATAAGATTTTTTTTTAATTTTTAGTTTTTAACTTTCTGTTTGTAAGACCCTTTTTATCCTTTCCTAAGGCTTTTATGTGGCCAATAAATATTATTATTATGTTTCAGTAAATGTTTGCATAAAACATTGTCAGGCAAAAAAAGAATAATCATAGAAATTAATGACTATTAACCAAACATTAATATTTTTAAAATACAAATAAAAAATGCAAATGAACTAACAACCTCCCAACAAAGCTTGGTATTTGACTCTGAGTTAATATTGAAACACGTGAGGGGGTAGTTATGGTTTATACAAATTTCGACAAATATGTAACTGAATACTACAGAACGTTATACTAGTAAAATGCAAATTAAAACTAAAACTTTGGTGTTGTTTCAACATTTCAATCAGCAATGGCAAACTCTTCTGTCGTAAGTATAACTTATAACTAGCGCAACACAATACTGAGATTAATTCTAAAGATTCTAATTTTGTTCTAAATACTAAGTTATCACCACAGTGTGCATTCACATACAACATTTGGCGGAAACCCAAATGACAAAGCATGGACCATCACGACATGCGTTTGTATGTTGTGCTCCGTAAGTTTTAGGGTTGGTTTTTACATTGCCCGTATCATCAAAGATAGAAAGGAAAGGTATATTAAGGGGGAAATTTCTGTAGACGTCATTTGTTCCCGAAGTGATTGCAAAGTTGGCAAATTTACATGGCAATGTGACCCATGTTGTTAAATTAAAGTGAATAAATATGTCGTAAATGGCCGATTATTATCGTACTGACTGCTAAACCACATAGAGGTCATAGGTCAACTTACGAAAGACACAAGTTCAAACAAATGCAATTTTGAAACATTTCGAAACATTAAATCAGAAAACAAGATGTCTGATAATCGATATGAGCAGATCAAAAATATGTATTCTGTATTTGACAAACAGTTCATTCGACAAGTTGAACACATTTTTTGTTGAAGTATATAAATTTTGAAAATTAAAATTCACAGGAATTTGTTTCAGCTATTAGAACAGAATTATAGAGCTAATTTATAATACTAATTTTAAAACGCACTTTAAATACAAATATTACAATGTCTAAAGATGTAGATTATCGGGAGGTAACAGTACTATTGACCTCTCTTCACTGCACACCAACTTATTATTTGCATTCTTCTGTCCAATTTCATATGTCATGTCAACTCTGATTAGCTGTATTATTTATGCTTTCCAATCACTATAACTATTTGAGTTGATTTGCATACAAAGCATAGCTTAAAACATGATAGTTATTCCTAGATGATGTTTTTTTCCAAATAATACAGTAGCCACACAGTGAATATAATAAGGCAGTTCATATTTGTCTCAGTGAATCATTAATTTTTGACAGACACCTGTACAAAATAATTGGGCAAAAGGCAATTTTTCTGTTATCTTGCATGTTTTACGAATCTATTCACGTCTAAATGCAACACTTTTTTCTGATGAGGCATTTGTTTTTATACTAAAATATCTGAATTACTTTGAATAAAGCTGGAAACTATGTCCCTTAAAATAATTAAACAAAATAGGCACCAATGTTTATGTAAGATATTTACATCAATCAAGGACATTTGCTAGACTGCTTCCCCACTGCTGTTTCAATCCTAAAACTTATTTGTATTCAAAATTAATTATGACAATGCATATTCATATTGAAACAAACTACGATAAAGGGAATAATATTATATAACAAAGTGCAAGGTCACTATGTTCTGTATACTGTTGTTAAAAAACCCAGATAAAAATATATCGCTACCCAACTACTTCTCACACAAAACACTGGTCAAACTTCCGTGAAAATGATGATTTTTGCATGCATACATGTCATCTTCGCCAGCCAAGGAACGTTTGTTTCGGGTCATCCCTCCAAACAGGAGTCGGCAATGAGTCGGTACCAACAAACCGTGCGATTCGGACGATGTATGTATGTATGTTGACTTTTTGACTTTAAATATTTTGATTTGAGAGGCTTTTTATAAGCTTTAAAATCATTCTGAAATAGAAGTGACCCGCCAACGTACATGTTGCTCCATAATCAAAAACAGGCAATCGTATGTAAACTTAAAACAGTTGCATTGGTAGAAAGTAAGATTGTCTGTAAAAGTGAAGAAAGTTGCTATAATAATAAGCAGAAATGTAGTCTCCAAAGTTGTAAAAGTTGCTTTGAAAAACATCAAAATCGTATGCAGTGTTAAAACAGCATCAAAGTTACAATACAGATTGTTAATGTGCATATTGACGGATTTTTAATGTTATGCATGTGTTTCAAATTTAAAATAAATGTTTGAAGTTGAATAATGAGCTATACATGCTTTGTATGACAATCAACTTATATAATGAACGTTCACGGTCCTTTTAGTTATTTTAGAATCGGAACTACGTAATTCTATATGACAATATCAGACAAATTTCAAGCAATTTGGCTAACTTACCAATCACTTTTCACAATTTTTGAACGCTGTTTGTTAACAAGTTACAGGCCGCATGACACTTCGCTAATATAATGAACGTTTACAAGTCACATTTTTTTTTATCTAAGTAATTTGACCAACATTCCAATCACTTTTCACAAATTTTCATGCTGTTTTTCTAGTGACATTTCGTGTAAATCTTAAAACTCATATGAACATTTGAGACTATTTTCACTAATTTTAATTAAACAGTTACAAAAACTCATCTAAATTGACACACGTCATCTTGCATGTGTGTGGCATAATTAAACTAAATAGTAGTTGTTCTGGATGGTTTGTTCAATTGGTCTTGATATAGCTTACCTTGCAAGATCAGTTAATCATCTTGTCGATACTGCTATGGCAGTCGGTTGAATTTATTTCGATTTAAGGGCCATTTACTGTTTGGGAATGTTTCAAATTCAATTGAAGTTGAATGATTCACCAGTTGATCTGTAACATTCATATACAAAACATTTTTGGGTCTTTTAGTCACTTTGCTAGTTATTAATAATTTAGGGGTCACACCTTTCCCAAGAAGGATAATTTAAATTACTCTAATCCCAACCTTTGCAGAACATGTACCAGTATATTTATAATGAGGAGCTTATACAATCACATTGGGTGGGAGGCTTAGAGTTTAGAGTTGGAGGAGCTTAATGAAGTCGTTCCCTGTACTCTATTTGCTTTATAAGTAGCTTACTTTTATGTAAATTTCAGGTGCTTCTATGGTTAAAATAAGCTACATTTTTGTGTATGTAGTGTCCCAGCTGCAATTGGGATTGCCCAAGCAGTGTCCCAGCTGCCATTGGCCGAGCAGTGTCACAGCTGCTATTGGGATTGGCCGAGCAGTGTCCCAGCTGCCATTGGGATTGGCCGAGCA